GGGCAGCCAGCGCTCAACCTGTCATCCACGTGGCTGGCCTTGTACGTAAGAGGTTATGAACAGGTGGAGCTTTCCTTACCTCTTCTTCTCCCCCTTTTTGCTTTTCTCTTCTTTTCTTCTTCCTTTTTTTCGCTTCTGCGCTCTGATTCACAGTGTGACAATATATATATATATATATATATATATACTAGGCTGGTTCCCGGGCGGCCCAGCTGGGGGAAGGTCGCCTGGGTACCCTCCCGGGCGGCCCGGGCCAGGCAGTGGCCGGGCAGGGTCCCGGGGGGAAGGTCACCTGGCTACCCTCCCGGGCGGCCCGGGCAAGGCAGTGGCCGGGCAGGGTCCCGGGCAGCTCCAGCGCATAATATTTTAAAAAATTAAAAATTCAAAAAAATCTGGAAAAGAAAAATGTTGTATAAAATTGCAGTACAAGCANGCAGCTCCAGCGCATAATATTTTAAAAAATTAAAAATTCAAAAAAATCTGGAAAAGAAAAATGTTGTATAAAATTGCAGTACAAGCAACTTTTGGTTGAGGGTCCCCTTGAAATCCCTTGTTATTTTTTAGATAAAAATAAATGAGGAGAAATGAGGTAAGATATACCCTTTTAAACCCCACTAGTCACTGTTTAGAGTAACTTTATACCCCCATAAAAGGGCCTTTACCCGATGTAAGCCTCAGGCCTTGTAAAGGTAAAGCAGTATGGGCCTTGTAAAAGTAAAGCAACGTGAAAGGGTATCTCGCCAGGGCTCAGAAACGTGAAAGCAGGTCAAAGGTCAAGTTCTCTATCAACGGGCACATCTAAATCTAAAGCAAAGGGCATTGTCARAAGACTTWCCTGTTCACCAGGAGATGTGCATGTCATGCCTGTTCGGAATAAGGGTGTGTCCTCACGTGCAGACAGTGTACCTGTTCGTGCAAAGAAGAGTGTCTGTTCAGACAGTATGTGTGTCTGTTCGTCTAGAGTTGTGCCTGTTCAAAGGTAAAGTCAATAGGTGAAGTCCCAGTTCTGGTCTAAGTCCAGGGGACAGTCCAGATCCAGACTTTCAAGTCCAAATCTAGGCCGAAAGGCCTCAGCAGCAATTGAACTTCATTGGGACTGTACTGGGACACATGCAATGCAGGGTCTGGGACGAAGGAAAGGCTGAACTGAGCCAATGCAGACCCAGCGAGGAGAGGCCAGCACTATAAAGGCAGCAGCCAGCCTCATTCCTCG